GGTTCTGCTCTTGAAAGGTTTTATTTAATTTTTTGAATATTAAACTGAACATATTTAAGATAAGGTTATTACTTAAATACTCAAATAACAGTCTCAGACAGTTTTAAAATATTTTTAAAAGTATTTAACAAATTTTAAATAATTTTTTTAAGTTGAATTAAAGATATATAGTATTGATTTAGTATATATTTTAATATTTTATTGCTTATAAATTAAGTTTTTTAAGAAAAAAGTTTATGTTAAACTGCAAAACCTCTCAATATTATTTAAATTGTACGTTTTTTATACTTAAAATGAACAAATTGCTAAGCCTTCCCAATCCCTTGAAAATAAAGCTTTAAAAACCCTTTTATTTATTTACAAGAGCTAGTTATTTCCCTCTAAATTTTACCCAAGTTTCTACACATTATTAGAACATGAAACTCGGCAAAATCTTTTGGAAAATTCTACAGTTATCGCTTGCTTTTACATTTTTGATTTGCGTTAGTTTTACGAGAGAATCACTAAATTTTACGGCGATTTTAAACAATTTTTTTTCAGAGTGGTTTCTTAGGTTTATAGTACATGCTGCTTTCACATTCTGCACATGCAAATTTATAACAATTTTACGTTCTCACATGCTCAAAGTCGTAAATCGTATTCGGCAAGGTGCGAACTGCTACGGCTCCTGCTCCTGCTCCTGCTCCTGCCTGTGATTCGCCCCTGTTGGTTACCAGGATCGTGGCTGGGATACCAGGATACCGCTCCAACCAAGTGGCTGTGCATAAAAAATCGTTTATGGCTTTGCAGCGCTCAAATAGAACAAAGCATAAATCCTAATTTACTTATGTGTAGCTGCAGCAGTTGCCACTTGCCACGTGTGTGAGTGTGTGTGTGTGTCACACAACGGTAAACATATATCAACAACATCTTAAACTCATGACGCCAAATAAATACAAATGTTGTAAAATGCAGAGGGGGTGGCTGTGGCCCAGGCCAGACCTCGTAAATCGCTCGGAAAAAGGGAAAAACCCCCAGGCCAGCGGGAGAAAAAGGAATGAAAAGCACCGTGTGAGCTTAGTGGCATCGCGATTGAATGGGACTTTGAATAAATTTCACCTTTAGCAAGTGGCTGTAAATTGTTTATATTTTACTCGAGTTTGCTGTATTAAAAAGGAATTTGATGGAATATGGATTAGGAGTGTGTTTGTGTGCGAGCTCCTTTTTGACTGGATTTTTGATTTTGCAGCCAAAGGAACAACGAGAGAGATGCCAATGGAGATAACTTTCCTTCGGATGGCTTTATTTCGAGTTCTTTTGGGAATTATATTTTTGGAATTATGCGGTACATTTAATGTAGATAATACATCTTAAGGATTACTAAAAGAATAAAGAGCTGTTTAATGGAGTAATTTATTATAAGATTTTAAAGACATATGAAAGAAATTTAAGCTATGATTGAAGGTGTTAAAAAAGTATTTAAAACCACACTAAACCTTGATAATTTCAGACATTCTTTGCTGAACAAAAATATATATTAAATAAATCCCTTAAATGCACCTTTAAGATATTTCCTGGAAAATGCAGCCACATCACCTGCAGTCTTACCTGCATTTCACAAATATTTCAAAGTCTGCTTGGGCAATAAATTCTTACAAGAATCGAGCTGGCTTCTTGATCAAACTAATCAAGTTGAGTAGCCGCCATTGAAGTGGTTTTGTTTACTTCAAGCTCTCGCCCAGAAATTGATATAATTGATGGCGAACCATAACAGACCACATTAGAAATGCCGGCCCAAGTCGGAGAAATTGCTCTCCATCCTGTGTCTGTGTCCGAGTTCTGTGTCCCGTGTCCTGTTTGTATTTGTATTTGTCTCCATCTGGCAAGGAGCTTGACTTCTGCAATCCGGAATCTAACAGGACGAAAAAAAAATACTAAAGCGTCAGCAGCATGTTAAGCAAACTTTATGACCGGCGAATTCCATAAAGGCGGAGAGAGGATGAGGCAAGGGAGCATGGAGGATGATGGAAATAAAACCAGGACCAGAACAAGAACCTCGAGCCCGAGTGAGGCATCAAAAAGTAAGAGCAAATGCAAAAGCAACCACTATAAAAACCTGCAGCGATAGTAAAATGCAAATTGGTTGGGGCGAGAACGAGGCGAGGACTGGGAGCTTTGTGGGGGGGCCTCCATCAGCAGGACAACGGGACGTCGGACCCACGGACACTTCAGGCCTTCAGGACTCCCTTGGTCCGTCAACGAAACTGTGGAAAAAAATAGTAAGCTCTGGCATTCGCACTCGTAAAATAAAAGTAAAGTGCAACAGCAATTTGTTTGCACAATTGCTGAATGCGGCCATTGCTGTTGCTGTGGATGTTGCTGCTGTTGCTGTTGCTGCTGCTTCTGGTGTTGCTGCCTCTGCCGTAGATGTTGCTGTTGGCACTCGTCGCATTGTTTGCTTTGTAGCCAGTTGTTGTACATTTTTATGACAGCTCAAATTGGCCCCCATCGCCACCGACGCGACGACGACTGCCCGCGAGCAACACTGTCAGCATATGGCAATAAATGGGCAACAGGAGTTGCTTCCCGCAAAAAAAAAACACCCGCCAACACAATATTCCCGGACATAGACTATATCTATATATAGAATATGTATAAGTATATGTGTATGCAAGCAGTGCTGTCAGTTTATCCTTTTTTAATATGCTCTCGTCCTGAAGAAATTGGGCATCAAGATTTATTTGCTTACTTGTGAGCTCTCTTTGGAAATGATTTAATTTTTAAAGGAAAATTCTGAACAATTCTTAATATATTTTTATTTTTAACGATATATATTTAAGGAGGAAATATATATTATATTCTTTTATAGTTCCTTAACTTTTTGTTCATCTAGAAAATAGGCTTCCTTTCGACAACTCTGTTTTGTTATCTCTCCCATTTTTTTCCTCGTCTGATTGGCGCTGACAGAGCCCAGTTGATTTGATGCCTTGTCCTGAGCCCTTTTGATGAGCCACCCCCCCGCCCTGTCCCCCTGCTCATGCACCATTTCATTTTCTATTTTGGCACTTTGAAATTAAAATATAAAACCCGCGCGCCGCTTTGACAACTTTTTAAGCTCCATTAGCGTTGACGGCAAGAAAGCCTATGAAGCGGCAACAAAAGCGCCCGTGGAAAAAGGGTCAATGTAACCGCGAAGGCAGCCGACGACGCGGCAGGACATCGAGACATCAGAGGACATTGGGACACCGGGACATCGAGACATCAGGCCTCATAGCAGCCAACTCAATAGCAACCCCTTTCTTTTGGGCCGGGGGTAACCTTGCGGTTGTTTCCATTCCCAGACCAAGTCCCAATAGCATTGCCAGGACGCAAAACCCAAACCCAGGCCTGACCCCGATTTCGGAATGCACTTTAAGAAAATAAAATAAAATAGAGAATTGGTAATATTTTATTTATATTTTCAGGTGATAATACCTTTGATTTGGAAACAGTTGTCTTAGCAACTGTGTAGTTTCAATTTAGCTAAACAAAAATTCCCATAGTTTATGGCTGAGTAGTATGAATTATTTTCTACCAGTGCATCCTGTTCCGGTCTGCTCTGGGTTGGTCTGTTGGCCTGTTTGGTTGGTTGGTGTTGCACTTCCGCGGCTGGAACAAAAGACCAGGCCCAAACCGAAACAGAAATGGGAAAAAAAGCATTTAACTGTTTCGCTGTTTGGCATTCATTGCGAATTTAAAGGGCGGCTTAGTGACAGGAATAATAAGGAAGCCCGCAGCGGAAGCGCTGATGTCAACGCAGCAGCAACAGCAGCAGCAGCGGCAGTGCCACAAAAAAAAAAGGCAACCACAAGGGAGTGTATTGAGAAGGGGGGTCCTTGGTCTCTGGTCTCTGGTTTCGAGGGGGGCAATAATGGGCCACGGGCCATGGACTCCTTGCGGCCGTTGTGTCCTGCGTCCTGCCCCGCTTTCGATTCGGTCTCGCATCTAGCATCTCGGCCTGTGCAAACAAAGCAAACCAAACCGAATGTAACCAAACCAAACGAATCGTAACGAAATAAACCCAAAACCTCAAAAAAGGAGCAACTTTCGGCTGTCAACTATGCTAAATATTTAGCTGGAATGGACAGAAAAAAGGCACAACCGACGAAGAAGAAGGAAAACAATACCAAATTAAACGCTTACAGCTGGAGCAGCTCATAATTTATTTCTAAGCTCGCTGGCTTTTCCCCATACCGATATTCGTATTTGGATTTGGGCTCAAGTATTTTTAACCCAGCGCCGTGCCAATTCTGAGTTTTGTTTGGCCAGACATCAAAACACACCCCCGGCTTTTGGTTTTTGGGTATTTTTTGAAGGAACATCCTTATGGTCCTTGCTGCTTCCTGGAGCCAGCAGGGGGTTGTGGCCAGGACTCGTACTCAAGCTCTCTCTCTCACTCACCCTCCTCCTGCCAGGCGGTGCTGTTGCATAATTTTCGGCAATCCACAAGTGTGTGTGGCACGAGTCCGTGCCAGGATCTGTGCCGTTTCCTGGTGTGTGTGTCTCGCTGGTTTGTCAGCGAGAGAGCAAAGTGTCTGCGCATGAGCACTCGCTCAATTGCTTTTGTTCTCTCTCTCGGGGTTGTTGCATGTCGTCTTCTTGGCAGAGGGGTTGGGGTTCAGGTGGTGTTGCTGGCTACTTGTTGTGTCTTTGTGTGCGGGGGCCCATTGAATACAAGGGTATATTGATTTAGACTTCGAATAAATCAAAAAAACTTAAGAATAAGCTATAGTAACCATTACTAGGGCTAAAAACACACTTTATATACTTTATATGAACAATCCTTTGACTGAAACCCCCAGGAAACCACCCCGTGCTGAGCACCGTGTGTAGTCACCCCCCTGGTTAGTGGTGTGCGTTGGTGTTGACCCGAAATCACGCACACTCGCTGTAAATCACACACACACAAGGATATATACATATATATGGCCGATCCAACTGAGCGGCAGCGAAAAGCTGCGAATGCCAAGCGCACAGTAGAAGGGAGTGGTACGTCAAAAACTGACGCACAGCGGCAGGCCAAACAAGTCCATAGTTTAATAGCCAGCACCGCACCACAATAATAATAATAATACCAACTGTAAAATACATAAAACAATAAGTCCAGCTAAAATTACGTGACCAAGTGCAAAGCTACCAACAAAACACAAAAAAAAAAAGAAAGCAAAGCTGAAAAATCTATAAAGCAAAACAAGAAAAGTGAAAAGAAGAAAAAAACTGTGAGTGTGCGAAAAACAACAGGCCACAAATCAGAGCGAGTACGAAAATCCCAAATATTCTTTCCGGTTTTCAAGACCCTTATCCATGTATCAAGACCCTTATCCATGTAGAGAGTACCTAGAGGATTAATTATTTAAGGCCCCCAAAGTTGTATGCATGATTTGATTTGGTTTATCGAATGCCCGATTCGTGTGTTGCATGTGACAAAGTGATATATATCGCCCCTCGAACGTGTGTGTGTATAAGTCGCTGCAGCTGCAAAGTATGCAATAAAAATCTCGCATTGTTTATGTGCAGCTACCAGAGAGAGAAAAGAGAGCGGTTGGGCGGTGGTGGGTGGTACAGTGAGGTAGGCTAAGGCAACCAACAGTTGACTATTTGTTGCATGTACTCGCCGCCAGGACCCTCTCTCGCTTCAAAGCTTCAAAATAGCGAGTGCGCTACTCTCTCTTCCTCTCTCCGTTCGCAACGATTGCTCTCTCCGAGAGAGAGAGATTCTCGATTCCGATTCACAAAACATTCGACAAGTGCAGAGTGAACAAGTTGTTGTTGCTGATGAACAACGAACGGAAAAAAGAGGAAATTTCATAGAGTTTTCCCCCGAAACCACAGCCATTACCTAATTAAATTATAGACCAAAACATGTGATAAATCAGCATAGCAACCAGGCAAGCATTATATATCGGAATTATCTCTAATCGGAAAGCCCAGAATCGAAAATCTCGGCCAGTGCATTTCCTAAACAATGGCAGCGAGTGTATATGCGCCATTTTTAAACGTGGGATAGGGATAGATAGTTTCGGTGTGCGTGCGTGTGCGCCACCTTCCAATGGAAGCTTTTCCGCTTTTCCACCTGCCACCCACCCCGCTCTCTACCCCTCACTGCGCGCCCACAAAATGAACTGCCGCCAGTGCCTCGTATAAACCGTGCAATTTAGTGCAAAAAGTATAACAATTTATCAATTAAGTGTAATCAAGTGTTGCAAATTTCCCCTAACCACTCCTTGTTTGCCCTCCCACCCCCCCAGGCGGTGTTCCTGTCCCTCTCTGGTGCGTGGATCTGCTGATTGCACGGCGGTTTCTGCATTTATAATGTAAATATTATGACTGCCAACCACTGCAGGAACTTGTTTACAATTTTCGCTCTTTAATCGACGCTTAAATTATGCAATTTCAGTCTCGGCTTTCGCTCCTTGCCAGGCGTTGGGAATAGCCGGGAGCAGGAGCAGGAGCTGAAGCCGAAGAAGAGTGTGTGCAGTTAATGGTTGCCATAGAGTATTTACCTGCAATTTATGGGGTAACGCCACACTGAAGGTGGTCTAATGGCTAATCTGGAATCACTTATGCCAGCCCTAGGGACGAGCTAGCTCCTCCAGTTTTATGGGTTCAGGGACCCGCACAGGTGCACTGTCTGGAAGGATTATGCAGTTTAGGGGTTTTCTTTATACATATATTTGATTTTATCTCCTTTCTTTGGTTTAGAATATAATATTATAATTCTATGCATTTTACATTATTAAAACTATTTTAAACCTTTAAAGCGAATAAAACTATTATTTAATATAATACTTTTTAACTTTAACAGTATTTTAAATATTTTTAAAGATTTTCCTCACCAAAATCTAATATTATTTTTATACCCTTGAAGGGTATTATAATTTCAGTCAGAAGTTTGCAACGCAGTGAAGGAGACGTTTCCGAACCTATAAAGTATATATATTCTTGATCAGCATCAACAGGAGAATCGTTCTAGATATGTCCGGAAGAAATCGATTTTTTGGCCTTTTTTGCAAAATTTTATAAGGGGTTACATCATTAAAATGTTTGATTTTGATAAAAAATTGAATTTTCAAAATTTTTAAATGAAGTATGCAGATTTATTAACTGTAGAAAATCTAGCACAGAACAGTTTTCCGATTTAAAATTAATGCTCTTTTGGCCGAGTTATGATATTTTTAATTTAAAAAAAAAATCAAGAAGTTTTTTGATATAAAAAATCCGATTTTATACAAAATAATATTTTTTTAAGTCAAGGAATCATTTCCGACCCCATAAACCATATATATTCTTGATCAGCATTAACATGCGAATCTTTCTAGACATGTCCGGAAGAAATCGATTTTTTGGCCATTTTTGCGAAATTTGATAAGGGGTGGCCATAAATTTGGATTTCTTAAAATTTTAAATTTGGTATACAGTTTTTTTAAATTAATAAAAACTAACACAAAACTGCTTTCCGAATCGAAATTAATGCATTTTTGGCTTAGTTATAATATATTTTAATTGTTACCTGCAAGGGTATACAAACTTTGGCTGGCCAAAGTTAGCTTACTTTCTTGTTGTATTTAAAATACTTTTCGTTTATTTTCTGGGTCTAAATAGGAATAAATATAGTCATATTGATCTTAGTTAAATAATTCCTTACCCCTTCAGGAGACTTTTACATCTCTTCTTTGGTCCTTAAACTATAACTTTCCGTAACCTTTTTAAGAGTTTATATGTTAGTTAAGGTATCTGAGATATAGTTAATAATAAAAGCCAAATTAATTCTCTTAAAGAACAGGTTTTTAATGTACCTTACTCCCACATCATTAAGTACTCCAAAGAACCCCCCAAAAAACACCAAACTATGATTCTTCCCATTTCTTAATAATATGCATGTAATATCCTTTGAGCAGACAACAACGATTATTTGCATGTAAATGTGGCAGAGTCTTTGTCCGGCGTCTTACCGGTAAATAACTGCAATTTAATTTACCTGTATATTTCCATTCCTTGCAGAACCCACACAGGACTCACAGCAGAACGGGACCTTGATTGCAGGTAAAGGCAGCAACATTGCAACTTAGCAGCATAGCAACGCAACAACGAAGAACGCCAGGGAGATACCTTCAATTGTGGCAAAGTGAATCCTTGGCCAACCAGGATACAGCGAGGAGCCACACGAGCTGCCAGGGATCGTGGCAGGGATCGGGGAGGAGGATGCCAGCCGGGGTACAAAAGGACAACAACAAGGAATCAAAGCTGAAGGAGCGACCGCAGCAATACTCTCAAGGCAACTCATGTCAATGTCAAAGTTGAAGTAGACGAGGGCCAAAACGCTAAGGCAACAAGGGGGCGTCAAGGGGGAGCCACAACAAAGGGGGGGCAACATAGCAAAAACCAAAAGCATTTTAACTGCAGATGACAAAGAAGGTTGTGCTACATCTACATAGTAAATACAAAACAAATTTAAGCGTAAGGAAACCCACTCCTCCCCATAACCAGAACCAGAACCACAACCCACTCCCCAAGCAAAACCCAAAGCAAACATAGGAAGCCGGTGGCGGGGAAGGCCCTTCCCGGATATTCGACGGCCGCAGCTCCAAACTGGCAGAGCGGCAGGGACAAGGACAAGGCATACGGCAACGGATACGGTGACCCGTGGAAGTGATACTGCAGGTGGCAACATGTCCGTGGACTTCATACTGCCCAATCGCAACAAGATCCAGACGATTGCCTACGCGAGTGCCAGCAAGAAGCATGTCCAGCAGGCAGCAAATTCAGGATCAGGCTTAGCTGCAGGATTGGGGCCCGGATCCGGTACAGGAGCAGCTGCTGACTTGCAGAGCTGGCGCCGCCCCAAGCCCAGGAGCTCTGCGGGAAAGCACAAGGCGGCTGCAGAGGATAGGTCACCCACAGTTCTGAGAAATGCCAATGGAAATGGTCTGGCCAGCAGCGCCAAGTTGCCACTCAAAACGATGGCCAAGAGGAGCTCCCGTTCGGTGCTCAAGCGAGAGATTATCGAGCTGGATGACGAGGAGGGCGAGGAGCGAGAGGATCAACTGTGCGAGCACCTGGAGTGGTCCGCCGCCCAGTCCCTGGTCCAGATGAACTCCTCCAAGCAGGAAAAGCAGCGGCGAGCGGGAACAACTCAGTCAGGTGCCCCTGGGGCAGCTCCCATATCCGCTTCAGGTGAGTGACAAGACTTAAAAATTTATAAATGTATTTAAGGAAAATTTTTAGATTTCAACATTTTATAAGAGGTTATAGAATATATTTATAGATAACAAAAATCCATAGGTATTTTATTTGCAGAAAAAACTTTCAGATTTGTGAAAGCTATTTTCTGCTCCCTGTTTGCCTCTATTGTTCCCTATTGGTAGCTTCCCCTTTTTGTGGCCACTTACCTTTCCCTGACTCCTGCCACCGGAATCCGGATTCCGGAATCGTTGGGGGGTCGCCCCGCAAAGCCAAAGTTGCGTCACAACAATGTGAACAGGTGGCTGCGACAATTTGTGTACTCGTATTTATTTTTAGTAGCCAGGTTCCGAGCCCACTCCATCTCCACCTCCACCTCCATTTCCATCTCCATTCAGCACGCCGGCGACTGCCAGCGGCGCTGGCAAGGCAAGCATTTTATGGCCACCCACTTAGCCGTCGTCCTTCAACCGCCGGTGACCCACCAACCAGATTCCCCGCTGCTGTGTGGGGTCACCTTCCCATCCCATTCGTCCTCTCCCCTGACACTCTGCAGTGAGCGCTCGTGTTTGACATTGTCGCCGTTAGCTAATCTTTTTAGCGTATGTTGGCATTTTCCATGTTTGCGTTTGCCTTCTTGTCGATGTCGCTGCTTGTTGCTCTTGAATGAAGCAAAAAAAACGAGGAAAAGTAGAGGAAAAGCGGAGGCAAGGCGGAGGAAAATGCAAACACGAAAGCGAACAAGCGGCATTGACTGTCAGGGGTTGGCTCTTGGGGTGGCAGGGAGGTCGTCGTCGTCGTCATCGTCGTATCGATTGAGAAACTCACTGTGGAACGTAACAGGTCAGCCGCAACTCGACGGAGCCAAGCGGAGATGGGATATTGCGTCAGCCTCAGAGCTTTGGTCCCATAAAACGTCAAAATGTGCAGTTATGGTTACTGCTTCCTTTATGATTCCCTTTTCGGTGACCTCTCGAGCCCCCAGTCGTTATTCCCCCGGAATATGACTTGCATTTGGCACACGCACACCCCTAAATAAACAAAAAAAAAGGAACACAAGACCCGAGGATTATTAAGTACGAGCTTAAAGAGGGGACTCAATTTTGCTTAAGACTGAGTCCTAAAGCAGCCACAGGTCTCAGGTTACTTACTTTACTTTACTTACTTATTGTATTAATGCCACAGGTGGTGGATATTTAAAGAATACACGGGAAGGAAAATATATTTAATTTAATTTAAACTTTCAAGTTTAAGAAATATAAAACGGTTCTCAGAAAAGTCATAAATCTGTACATTTTTATTAATTTTATTAATTACAATTCGAAGTTAATCAATAGGAATTATAAATATTTCCTTTACCTATATTTTTATTAACATTTTTGTTAGTATTTAACAAATTTATATTAGAACAACATTGGTATATCAATCTTTCGGGTATGAAAGATGCAAATTTCCCCTTCAAAAACTCTTAAATCTTTAAAGTTTTATTAATTTCTTTATTTATTCATTGAACTTTTATACAATTTTCATTATTTTCAATCACCTTTTGACTAAATTATGGGATTTGTTATTGAAATCCCTCAAAATCCCCTTGATTTAATTTAAATTTTAGCGAATTTCCCATTGTTTCATTGCCATCGTTCCACTCACTCCCATCAAACGTTACAAGTTCAAAGTTTTTAGTCAGCCCTGGCTTCTCTTAAGGACTGGCAACCCTATCCCATTAATCAACAAGTTGCTTTGACAATTAGTTTTCCGATAATAAAGAAATGTGACAGAAAGCCCACATGGTGCATTTGTATAATCTCCAAAATGAACTTTAAGGTGTTGCATAGCCAGGAAGAGGATTGTCAGCCTCTGGACTGTTAGTTGTTAGCTTTCGTGGTTCCCTTTTGGATCTCTATAATGGTTTGTTTCTATCCTATCATATCCTTTATAGTATCGCTGCGCCGTCCAGTGGGTAGAGCTCCGGCGGAGGATGGCAAGGTGATCTTCTATGCCCCGCCCGCCAGCGCAACAGGGGCGCCCCGCCAGCCGGAGCCCGTAACCCTGAAGAGGGAGCGGGAAAGGGAACGAGAGCGTGAGCGGGAGCGCGAAAGAGTGAGGGAGCAGCAACAGGTCACGTCGGCGGCAGCGACGGCATCGTCGTCTGCATCGATATACCGCGGACGCAGTGTCGAGGAGACGGAGGCCGCCCACGACCTGCTGTCGCTGTCGCAGAGCCTGCCGCCGCTGATCCCGCCCTGCGTGGTCACCATCATGAAGCAGGAGCAGGAGCAGCTGCGCTGCCCGGAGATCCAGGAGATATCGAACAGCGCTTCCAGCCGCTCGCCACAGTCGACCATTCGATTCATTGGCAGCAGCTCCTACGACCTGATGCACGGCTCCGCGGAGGGCGCCACCACCAACTGCTCGCCGCTGACGCCGCCCAACTCGGATCACAGCTCCGACGTAGATATAGACATGTCTTCCTCCTCCGAATCGGGGGTCCAGCACTGGGGCAGCAAGCAGCAACAGCAGCCATCGTCGTCCCACAATCACCATCAGCAGCCGCCGAGGGCGTCGGCCTTGAAGATGTGCCTCAACATGCTGGACGGCCGGACCAAGGCCAGCAAGGCCAGGCAGGAGCCGGTCCTGCCGCGTCCCAAGAGCGTCCAGAGCAACGCCTCCAGTCCGGGTGGCGACCAGCCAGATGTGGCCGTCTCCGTGGCCCCCAGCCACTCGTCCTCCTCCACTGCCTCGGTGGCGGGATCTGGAGCCGGTGGTGGCAGCGGCGAGAACTATGCCAAGCGCAAGCGTGGCTGCTACAAGTGCTGCGAGTGTGGCAAGCAGTACGCCACCTCCTCGAACCTCTCCCGTCACAAGCAGACGCACCGCTCCCTGGACTCGCAGTCGGCCAAGAAATGCAATACCTGCGGCAAGGCCTACGTCTCCATGCCGGCCCTGGCGATGCACCTGCTCACGCACAAGCTCTCGCACAGCTGCGACATCTGCGGCAAGCTTTTCTCCCGGCCCTGGCTGCTCCAGGGTCACCTCAGATCGCACACCGGAGAGAAGCCCTACGCCTGCGTCCACTGCGGCAAGGCCTTTGCCGATCGCTCCAACCTGCGGGCGCACATGCAGACCCATTCGGGGGACAAGAACTTCAAGTGCCATCGGTGCAACAAGACGTTCGCCCTGAAGTCGTACCTCAACAAGCACCTGGAGTCGGCCTGTCTCCGGGACACCGGGGCCATTGGGCAGGGCAAGGAGATGGATCTGGATGGGGAGGAGGACGAGGAGGAGCTGAACAAGCAGGACGACCTGGAGGGCGATGAGCTGGACAGCGACGAGAACAGCCAGGACATCGTGGTGGCCTAAGGAGCTCTCTCTCTCTCTCTCAACTTAGATACTTTACAACCGCAACCCTATAAGCAATATTCGAGCACCCTTATCAAATTAAAAAAAAAAAACTAAAAACTAAAAAGATTAAGAAATTAAAAATCGAAAATCGAAAAAGATAAAAGAACAAAATACTAAGAATCTAGTCTAGAAATCGGCTTACTAGCGAGGTAGTTCATGGATCTCAAACTCAATAGAATCTTCTTCAAGCAGTTATATATACACAGACACTATATCTACTCACTTATAATCCGAACAACTCTATCCAAAACTCTCCAAGTTGCAACTTTTTAACTGAACTTGAAACTCGATCGATCGAAGGCGAAGGATGAGGAGCGATGTGAGGAGGTGACAAAGAGAACAAAAGGTTTGAGAGGGAAATCCAAAACGTAACTTATAGTAAAAATCTGACACAACGAATATTATGGAACATAAGTAGAAATTCTATATATATACACAGATCAAATAAGCATTATATACAGATCGGGAGGAGAGGAAAGGGAAGGGGATGGCAAATTATATGTATACATACGACCTATATGAGAATAATACCTAGCGAGCAGAACCAATTTGTGCATGTTTTTGGTAAATATCTACTTTTAGGCATCGTTTTAGGGCTCTAGAGTTTATATACACCCCCCCAGACACACCCAACACACCCAACACACCCTACAACACACGGACGACGATGCTCAGTTCAAGTCTTAGCAAACTAATCAATTAGTGAACTTATAGCACTTCCTGCAACTCCTATATCTCTCTATCTTGCTCTTAGGCTCTTTTTAACCGTACTTAATGATCAACTTAGCAATCGGATCAGCAATCGGAATCAGATATATATATAGAATCAGATATATATAGAGACGAACCATTTTAACCGCTGCGGCAACTTTACACTCTAACCAAGTTTATAAGACGAGAATTACTTCCATATTATATGCTCTAAACTCGATAAACAGAAAACTACTTCAATTACTTAGAAATGATTAAAATTAATGAGAAAACAATTTAGAAACATATCACAAGGACAATACTTAACATAAATAACAGCATGCATTCGAGGTATATGAGGACGACGACGACGATGATGATGATGTATGGTGCAGAGGTATATGCGACTTGCAACCCCAATTAAAACGACGACACTCTCTCATACATACATGCAGCATGCAGCAACAAAGTACTTACGAAATAGTTATTTTATTACTAGCATTAGACGCCCCCCCGTGTACATATATTTACATGCAAGTTTAAAAACCATTTTATACAAGAAACTCCCCCCCAAATACCCAGCAATCCCCTCGAGCTTTGGCCCAGCCAAAGGTTTCTTATAGCGATGATCCCCAAGATGCAAGAAGATATCTAATGGATATCTGATGGATAGGACGATGGAGATAGAAGTAGAAGACGCACTTGTAAAACAAATGATAACTAAAAGCAATTCCAAAGTTAAGTGACATAGTTTTAACGAACGAAAAACCAAAAATACAAAAATTTGTAATTCCAAAAAAACAAAAAATCGAAAAGTATTGATATATACACATTAAAAAAAATACAAACAAACATGTATTTATTTAACGCGTAGTTTTTATTCAGAAAAACCAAAAGAGTAAACTTGAAAACAATTTAATTAAATTGTCAATTACAATTATTTCATAATTTAAGAATCGATGAGCGAGGCGAACGCGATGCGGCGATAGAGGTTATTTTTTAAAGCATATATATACACATAAATATATTAACAAATAAATAAAAATATATTTAAAAGAGGCAGTTTTATATCGAAATTAATAATAGTAAATGCAAAGTAACAACAAAATATTGAAAACCATTCGAACTTAATTATACAACGAGCAAGAAAAAAAAAACCATTAATTATAAAAATCCAAGCCCAACACTAACACACACATACACACACACATACGCCCACAATTTTATAGCAACATCGGATTATTAAATCGTATCTACATACGTGTAGTATCCAGTCTACAATATAGCAGCAGAATATCGGGGCAGAGTTAGAATTTAGACCAGAGAGTGCTATGTGCATTGTTTATAGGGCCATAGTTCGAAATCGTGTTTATGCATGGCTTTATTGATGATTATTGATAGCGTTTTAAATAGCATTAAATGCCTATATATACACATAAGCAAACCAAACAAAAGCAAACCGAAGAAAATTAAAAAAAAAAAAACCAACAAAAAAAAACACAACTAAAAAACCAAAAAACGTATATAAGAAATTCCATTGAACAGTAGTGGTAACAATTATGTGATTTGCAATTTTACATTCAAAATATATATGAAATAATTACGAATATAAATAGATTATATATTGAGGCGAGCGATTAATTGATTTATTTATGAGTAAGATTTATTTATACACATTATACACGACAACAAAAAACGAGAAACAAAATGACAAAAACACAAAAAAAAAAAAAAAGAAAGAAGAAAAGGAAAATATGGTTGATATGGAGATGTGAAGAAGCTAAAATATTTTTACACCGAAAACCTTGTTTTATACACGCGGCAAATTGAGTCTTAAAACCTAAAAACCCCTTTGGAAATACAACTGCAAAAATTAAGTAAAGCCCCCTCTGAATACTCAGACAAACAAGCAGATGTAAAACCGATTTTACTATATATTTTTTCTATATATTAATTAATTTTTAAAGGGTTCAGATGCTCCAGAAATCTTAAGACATTTCTTGATATGTGATGAACAAGTTAAATTGGTTGTGCTGAAAATTACATGCTTAAATTATTTATTTAATTAAGATTTCTGGGTGACCTCTGAATATGACATACATTTTTTTTAAATTTTTTCACTTGCACTATTATAAATAATCAGAATTTCCAATATATTTTATATTTTATATTATATTATTTTATATTATATTTATATTTTATGTTCTTAAGAAAGTAAAACTTATTTACAAAAAGTAAAATCGGTAGCACATCTGCTAGACACACACACAACACTAACTCTCTTGATATGAGCGATTTAATTTCAAGATCAAAGACACCAATTCAATTTTGATTATTGTACAATAAAAAAACATGATAAAGATGGGCATAAATCGAACAAGCTGATGCGGATAAGCCGGTGAGATATTTTATAAAATGAATGAATAACGTAAAAGATATTAATTTATATATTCATATATTAGAGATGCAAAAAGACTTGAACAGTTATATACATTTAAAATTGCAATATATTGTATACTTCATTAAAAAATATATACATACATACATACCGGCATATATATGCAAAACCACGTACGAGTATATAAGTATGAATATTTAACTTATTTATATAAATGCTTACAGCGAACCATAAAACATATACATCATAAACCGAATCTCAATTTTTTCCAAAGCCAGACGATAGGAATCCCTCAAGTAACTCAAGATCAATTCAATTATATACTCAATGACCACATGGCGGGCAATGTCCCTGCCCCACAGGAATATATAGCTAAAGATATATAAGATAATACGTATGCAACACACACACAAAAACACACACACGCAGCGATTTTAAGGCGCTGTTTTTCACAGGTTTTTCCTTTTGATACTTAGCATTCGTTCTTGTTCTACTTTTAGTTAGGGAATGTTCAACTAGTTTCGGCTTTCGTAGCAAGTTATATCGAAATAATCACACACACCTAGATGACCCCCAGCTCGCTATACTAAAACTAATAACTCCCCACACTCTTAGACATCTACACAGACACATGCATAGCGCCGACATGCGATTTTATGGCAACAAATATGTAGAGCATATAACCTATTATATCCCAAAGAAGGCTTATCCATTCTTAAATTAATCTACACGCGAGCGTAACCGGAGAAAGCAGACGACGACGAATCACAGCATCCATTATGGAAATTCGAGTATGACAACAACAAATAGAGAGTATTAAACCTAAACCCAAACCCTCAACAGAAACAGAAACTGAAACAGAAACAGAAGCAAACACAACTAAAACGACAGCCACAAAACAAGATCAACAAAATATATAACACACGAAGGATGATGGGTCGATGGAATATAAATTAGATACATAGTTATAAAAGCTACACCCACACACTAGTGCAGCCATGTAACTATTTTTAGAGCCTCGGAAATAAACATACATAAAATACATAAAAATATTAAATAAACGACAGAGAAAAACAAACAAATTTGTCTTGAGGGAATGTTATTTTTTGGGTTTTTTGGGAGGGAAGGTAAGTATAGGATAATAATAACTTCAACCGTATAAAAACTTAAACTTTAATCCTGAAAATCAAATTTATAAATATCAACCCCAAATCGAACATGTGTTCTCTCTTCAAAACCACTCCAAACACTAATTAGTACAACCCTTTAAAATAGTATATCGACATCTCGTCAGAAATGAAATGAAATGGTCCATGGAAAACCCTTACTTAAAGTGCACTTAAAGACGGGTAAACATTATAAAGTCCAGGGAAACGGCTCGGGCTCGGGCTCAGTTCTGTGGCCTTTGTTTTGGGGCCAAATTACTCCGCAACTAATAAACTATGCCTCGCTGATTTAATTCAATTGGGGGCCGAGGGCAGGCCCCTGCACAGTCAGCACTTGTGTGTGCTCGCATATACATATATAGTGCATATATAGTACAATACATTATATCGGAACCAGGATGGATGGGGCACACACACACACTCGAAAGCACTCGCTCAGATACTCAGATACTTACACAGATACTCACCCAGGCCAGACAAGTGCCTACTCCTGCTCCTCGCAGTGTGTGGAGTGTGTTTAAATGAAATTGCTTGATTCGGCATAAACATATTTACTCTGTTGAATATTTGCTCAACAATTTGATTCGCAATCCAGCGACTATGACTGCGATGGCGGGCGGCATGTAAAATCCGAATCCCGAAATCAAAATGGAATTGTATCAAGGACGCGGAACAATCGAGGCGGGCAAACAAGTTCAGTTGAGGCCTCCATCCGGCGAACGAACCTCTCCTGTCAATCCACTCCGGTTGCATTGAATGCCGTAATCGCTGGGAGATACAAGTGATGGTAATAGTGCTGACGGATTATCTTTTTTCCAGAGAAATCTGGGTATATTTTGAAGTATTTTAAGAATTTTTATAGAAATGAATATATTGAAATCAATTTTTTTATTTGGAATATTTGCATTCATTTTTTAAAATACTATTTTCTAACTGCCTAAACTTATAAAATGGATTTTTAAAACTATAGAAAAGTTATTTGTTTAGTTTAATTGAATTTAAAATTTTAATAAAATTAATATACCATTAAAAACAAACCCCAAATTTTATGTTTTTCTACAACGAAATTGCTCGGCTTTTTCTTATTTATATTCACTAAAATTCTTGAAATTTTGAGTCGCTTTTCCGGAAGATCTGTCCCATTTTTAAATTAGGTTGTTAGCAGCACTAGAGAGCACGAGTACACGTACGGGTTCGAGTACTTGTATTCCGAATTCCGATTTCCGCCGGTGCAGCGCCGTAGAATTTACTCCCACCCCACCCACCATCATCCACAGATGTCAGCAATTTCTCGATTTGAATACTCAACAAAAACGAAAGTGGGCAAACAATTCGGATGAGAGGGGCAACAAAAAAAAAGTCTATATATATATATAAATAAATAACAGGCAGGGCGCAAAAAAAGACGAACCTCGCGCAAATGGCTTCTCTAACGACCCAATTAATTTGAAACAAGAAAAAAAAAAAACACATAGAAGAAAAGCGTTTGAATTTGAGGAGCAGCAAAGTTGGTAGAAGTGGAACGCCACAGGCCACTAAATGCTGGGTTAGAACTCGCGCCCCCGCCTCCAAGATTCACCCCCTCTATCACGCCCCCCGCCTCCGCCACACAACTCCGGCAATTGCCGCACAGCCCTAAAGCTTTTTATGCCCCACCACAGCTCGAAAAGTTCGCCGACAGCTTCATTACCAGCCATCATCGGAGCCATCATCATTCAGATGCACTTGAGAAAAAAAGTTTAAGATAAACAAAGAGAGGTTAAGGTGGTCTGAAAAAAGAGTTGGGAATTTTAAAGGTATCATTAACCCAAAGAAAAAGATGTTGGGGGTACCTGAAAAATGAATTAGGAATTTTAAGGCATCTTAATGAAATTTAAAAAAATATTAAGTTCCCAAATGGAATTGTAGAAAATAATAAAGAAAATGTCTGAAGAGAATAATAACGTTACTCAATTTAATTATGTTTTAAATTTAGTGTAGTTTCAATATTTAATTTAATTTCATTTAATTGCTCGCTATTTTATCATATTAAAAATGTTTCTTACAGTGTTCAAAAAAGTTTTGCAGCTGGTCTTTAAATAAGACACTTGAAATTTAATTTAATATTTGTACTTTCAGTAATTCCTTTACATATAAATTAACATTTTAAAATACCTATAAGACAACAAATATAATTTAAAATACACTTAAATATTAATATATTCCCAGAAATCTTTTCTAATAAAATAACCTGTTGATGTTACAAGCTCATATGGGTACTGCCATAATTTCTCTCCGTGTATTGATGCTGTGCTACCCATGATGAGTAATTGGCCCGGCAAAACTTAGCCCAAGTCGAGTCGGATTTAAGCTTGGCTGCCAACCGATCTAGCCTGAGTCTCGAGTCTGGAGTCGCGTCGATCGCAGGCAGCAAATTAATCGCAAGAGATTCACGAAAGCCGCATCGCGAAATTCTGAAGAGTAATAGCCATGGCCAAGTCATCTACCTGCCTGGGAAATAGTCTCATCCTGCTGGCCGCTCTGGTAATTCTGGCCCTTGGCAGCCTCACCGAGGGTAAGTGTAAAAATATGATTTATTTTTTTTGTTTTACGAGCTTTAAATACTTCATATTTATGGCACATCTGCTTGAAATATTCGCTCCTCTATTGTTTTGGGATGGGAGCCGAAACAGGTTTCTCGAGCGACGCCAGAACCGAAGCTCAGGGGCGTAGTTTGTGCGGGGGATCCGGTGAGGTCCGGAGGTGGCTTGCGGCTCGTTAGTCATAATTACGCTTTGCCGTGATTCAAGGCTTCCGGGTGTATGTCATAGCCAAGGCTGGAGAGATTAACCGGCTGATAAGCGCCGAAAGCAGCGCGACATAATTTAATGGCGTGTAATTAAATTTTCCCCAGCGGCCCCCTACCAGGAGCTGGAGCCCCGCAAAGGTCATGTGCCCGTCTACATTCGCCACGGAGATGAGCCCCTAAGCGAAATTCATCCAGGACTGGCCGAGGCCTTCAAGGAGGGTCAGTCCAAGGACCTTGAAGCGGAGGTAAGTTGAGGGGGGAAGTCACTTAATGTCCTTTGAATAAATATGTCTAGAAAAATAAGAAAAATAATGTATTTAGAACATAAATTTCTAATACAGTTTCCTTTTACTATTTCTCCCTTTCAGAGCCTGATCTCTGCTGAACCCGCAACTACAAGTGCACCAACCGCATCCTCGACCACATCACCTCCTCCACCTCCTGCTCCTTCAACCGAATCGGATATAGCCAGCTTTGAGGCCATCAAAGCGAAGACCGAATAACACAATTGAATAAATACAAAATTTCTGCTTAAACTTCTTTAGTTTACAAGTTAATTCCATCAACTGAAAGCCCCCCTGCGAATGCAAATACAAATATATTTAAATGCAGAATAAATATAAATAAGAGAACAACAACAATAACAACCTTAATCTCATATTCAGAGCGGGGGAGTGAAAGCAATTTAATTGTTTAATATTTGTCTGCGAGACATTTCAATGGAAGTGAAACTGTTGATTTAAGGTAGGCTGTTGCTGTCGTGTTTTGAATCTTGTTTTAAGAAGGTTTCTTTGAATAATTAATTTGCACATGAGACATGAATAAAATATATGTTAAATCTTTGTATAAGCCTTGTTTGTTTAAAATATAAATTTAGAAAATGTCTAAAAGCTTCAAGTCTTTGTAGAATAATTACCATTTTGTTTCCAATTTCTTTTACTTAAAATTTTTTTATTTTTAAATCCCAAAAAAATCACCCAAACTCCCCCAAAAGAACTATTAGGTTAAAGCTTCTAGCGCTAACCAATTATTTTCAGCTGCAAATTAAATCGTTAAAACGCTCTGCCATTTCCCCACTTTCGTCACCAGCCAGGACGCGTGTCCTGTCTGGCGCGTTTAAATGAATTTCTGAGAGCCGGGGCGAGAGCTCGTTAAGAGCTGCGCAAGTTTCACACATTCAATGGAAATTATTTGGTCCTTTCGAGTCCGTCTCCTCCGATGCCGTCGCCGAAATCGCCTTAGAGCTTTGTGTGTGATTTACTTGTTGTGCCCATTAGGGAGCTGCTGCTGGCCCACCCAAAAGAGAAGCAGGACAGACACAGGAGGCACAGGAGGATGGTTATGCGGATCGGGGTCCTGCGGGCAGGAAGTGGTAGCTCCAAGCTGGAAGCTGTGGCCCAAACGTTTGTAATTAATATAATGGCAACGGCTGTGCCGAGTAAAATTCCAAAATGGCCTACACACGTTGCGGTGGCCCCGAAGGATGGGCTCTTTTTTTGTTTTTTGGTTGGTGCTTCAGGAGAGAAGGTCCTGGGTGATTGGGGGCGATCACAAATTGTTGTTTCATTGTCTCTGAGCCCCGGCTGTCTAACGAGCAATAAAACTAAATACATACACATAAAGTTAATTATAAAAGGGCAAACGAAATTGGAAGGTCCCAGACTATTGAGCTGTAGATGCAAGTGATGGATTAACCAAGATGGAGTGTCCTGGCAAAGGAGTGCGAGCAAGGAGGCTTGGGTAGTAGCTCTATCTTCAGACGAAATCGGCGAAGAGAGACCCCAAAAGCGAAGCTGCAATCAAGAGGGCATTAAAAGAAAGCAAAAAATTGTAGAAAATAGTCAGGGATGTAAGCTACTTGGAGATGATATAGTAATACATACACCATCTAAGAATTCTTTAAATAATTTCTTAAGGATTTTGTATAACTTGACTACATTTTACCTCAAGTTTTTCTTGTTTTAAAGACATATTTACATTTATTTAAAATAGTTTTGCTTTGTATTTATAAACCCTACAATTCAATAACTAAAAATAACTTTAAAAAATGTATTATTATTTTAAAGAAAAATATGTTTAACAGTTAAAAAATCACTTAGCTTCTTACATTTCCATCCCTGAAAGCTAAGTATGAAAAAATAAGAAAAACAAATGAAGATAACTGAAAGAAATGCTGCAAAAAAGCGATGAAAACTATGCGTAGTAAAAGCGAATTTTATGGAGCATCCTCGTTTAAGAAACTGCTCCTGAATTTAAATTTCCTTGTGCATTCGCACACACACACACATTAGCACAGAGACACGCACAGGATACAGCCATACACACACACACACACACACGTAGAGCGGCTGCCAGGTCCGTGTTCTTGTATCATTGTGTGCGTTCGAGCGCATTCAACCTCAAAATGAATAATTGCATATGCTCCAATGATTTGCGACTTTATTCGAATTCGCCAGCTCCTCGCTAGCTGCCAATACTTTAAAGCCCCTACCTTGGGTCCTGGCCAGTCCTTCGATGGCTCCCTTAAAGGCCAGAAGTTCAATTTGCGGGACAGCAGATGAGGAGTAGCAGCAGAAGCCATCGAGGCTAATTTGAGAATTGCTCGGCTTAATTGCCTGGCACTTAAACAATAATCAAGTTAACGGTTATGCCAGCGATTATCGCCATTTTTACACCGATGCCAATGCTAAGGATTATTGGCTGCCCATTAACAGGAGCAGGAGCAATTCCAATCCGAATCGGAGTCGGAGAGCGAGACCCATCCTCGTATACCCGATTTGCGGAAGTCAATTCAATGTCCGCCCAATTTCAATGACACTCGGTTCGAGGTTCGATGTTTTGCACTGCCGGAAAACTTACTTACAGTATTTTTTTAAACAAATAAAATATTTCAGAAGAGAACTTACAAGTTTTAGTTATCATTTTGTTGATTTAAGATATATTTAAAATATTTTTAAAAATATATTACTGATAGTTTTGGTCCCAGTGTTTGTGGAAGCATTTTTTTATTGGGTTTAATGTGCACACATTTTTGCCAGCTCTCGTGGTCGGTCCTCTAACCCAGGAGATTGCCCAAGATGCCACCACCACCGCCGCCATTGCCAGCGCCTCCTCCGGTGATGCCGGGTAGGGAAATGAGATTGCCCAGCAATGGGTTGCCATTTAAGGTGAGCAGGCAGCTGTCAAAGCAATTGCAGGAAAGAAGCGAATATATATATATGAGAACGAGTACATTCAGCGGTCTCAACCGGAAGCTGGCACTTACCGCAGATCCAGGCGGATGACGTACTGACAGGCCCACTCCCGGAGGCACTGCAACGAAATGGAATGATCAGAGATTTATGCGACAGTTCTAAGCATAATTATCTTGAATGTCTTTTGATTTTAGGTTTTTTAACTAATATAAAATAGGTTTCTTAAGTAAGTTTTATCTTTAAACCAATACTTACCCTTAAAGTCTCAGCCGAAGGTCGCGGGCAAGTACCTCCGCCTCCTCCTCCGCCTCCTCCTCCGCCTCCTCCTCCGCCACCTCCGCCGCCACCTCCACCGCCTCCTCCTCCTCCGCCTCCTCCATGCTTGCCATCGCCTGAACCAGGACTGGGAACTGGAACAGGAACTGGTACAGGCACAGGCACAGGAACCGCCACTACCTTCTTCACCGGAGCGGTGGGCTGCTCCCAAGGGGGATTCTTTAAGAAGGAATTTTTCAGGATCACTTAGAAGATTTTAAAGAACAATTAAGCTTACACCGTGGCCTATAGCTAGGGATATGAATCCCAAAACTGCCAGAGATAATACCAATTTCCTCATTTCAGCTTTACTCAGATGAAAGTCATCCACTGATGTCGTCGGACTGCCCCAAAACCCCTTTTATATCAGTATAATTCCCACAGGTGTTTTAAGATTTGGGTTATACAACTGAAGGCGATGATTTTAGTTATTAAACAAAAGTAAATTTTTATAAAGAAAGTGCAATTTGTGGTTAAGTAGGACACAAAAAGCTCCATATACAGATTTAGGTTGCCCTAAAATAAAAAGTAAATAAAAACCTTCAAGACTTTCCTGATATTGATTTAAAAAACCGTATTTACTTAAAGTTTTTTCATTAAGTATTATAAATATTTTTATTATTGTTAATAAATAAAACAAAATGAAACAAGAAAAAGCTATCTAGGGCACGCCAAAGTTTGTAAACCCTTTAAATCTTTAATAATTTTTAATTTTTTTTAATATTTTAATTTTGACAATTTTTACTATTGAAACCCTAATAAAATTTTACTAAGAATAATAAATATACCTAAAGGTATGCAGCATATTCCTAAACCATTTTCCATTTTTCTTCGAACAAAAAGCCCTTGAAAAAAAAGGAAGTTACTTAAATAATTAATTTAAATACAATTTTCTTAAAATAAATCTAAAATGTAACCTCTCCTTAGATTTAAAATTAAAACCGTAGCTCTATTAAGGTGGCATCTCTGAAACGGTAAACTGGCAAAGGTCTGGCAATAACACCCATTGGTCTGGTAACTCTATTTTAACCGTTTTACAGCGCGCCTAAAATTCAATTTCTAAGCTTTTGCAAATGAGTTACATTTGCACCAAAAATTGTTATGCTAGCTTCCAAAAATAAAAATAAATTAAACAAAATTTCCATTTGATTTTCTATATATATTTCAATTAATTTGATAATCATAAATATTTTATTTATTCGCCATGCAAACCATGTACAATTACATAAATAGGTAGGTTCATTTTCAATTTCAATTTGTGGTTTTTAGTGGTTTCGTGTACTTTCCGTCTGTTTGGCAACTAGTCGTATATGTATATAGTATATATATGTGTATATATATTTAAGTTACGAGAGCTAATTGTACAATAATTCATCTAATAATACCGCTGGTGTATAAGAGTAATATGAACGATCGCTTGCTAGTTGATTATTATTAGTATACGTTAGACAATATCATTTACCTTTAGCAATACAAATATCAATGGTGTAATTGATCTGCGAACGGCGAACGGCCGTGCAGCAAAGGAGGAGAAACGCACATCCATAATCTTGACTCGTAATTCCTAATTCCATTGTACAGGCTGACACAGGTTTACAGGTGAGAGATGCTAATCATGCTCGAAACATTTCAACTGACTTAACTTGACTTTTGAGCAGTGTATTTGTGAGGATTGCAGGTGGCTGAGCTGGACTCGGAGCGAAAGGTAATCTTTGGTTGCTTGAAAAACTTTAAGAAATCAACTCTTTTTCGAGTTAAATATATTTTTTTTAAGATTTGTGCAGGCGGAAAATATTATTTTTGAAGCTTTAAATTCACTTGGTTTGATATAGAAATCAGATATGTGATTAACTACGGGTTCTATATATGGTTTATACATATTTTAAACTAATATGGCTGATTTCTTTGCTCTTTAGATTATTTTTTACTTTAAAATTGCACAATTTAAAGGATCCTCTTTGTAGCTGTTAAGGATATGTCAACTATTTTTTTGGGGTTTATACCAATCTTTGTAACTTTAAACTTTGTGCAAAGGGAAAGCTCTTATGGTATATAGAAACCAGAGAAGATTTGGCCAAAGATTACTTTTCGTCCTTGAAGAGGATAATTCAGCCCCTGCCTTCAGGGTTTATTTATGCTTTAATCCGCAGGGGGGCTTTGCTAAGATTGAAAGTTCGATCAGTGGAGAGACAGACGGACAGCTCAGCGCCCAAATCCGCAGCTGCACTGCCCCGGTGATCCTCAGGTGCACTGCATCTTCTTGCAATTGCACAGCCACTTGATGATTCTGGCATTCCTCTCCACTATCGATGGCGGCTCCGAGGGCCGATAGGCTTGCGTGGCCTGCGGCTGAGTCTCCGTGCTGTCCGGTAGCCGCATCGAGTCCACAGTGCTCACATCCGAGAAGAACACGGTGCTGGAGTCATCCGAGGCGTCGTCCGTCTCCGAGTGATGCCTTCGCGGCTGGCTGTAGATCTCGTGGAAGGCCTCGTCGTTGAGGCCCAGCCGATCGAAGAATTTCTCTAGCTCCGAAATGCTGGCATTTAGAGCCTCCCGCTCCATGTCCAGGCTGTTGTGATAGCCCTCGGCGGAGAAGCCCTTCGGAAAGAATACGTTCTCGTGGTCCACGCTGCCCCGATGCTGCTTGTAGGCGGCCAAAACGCCGGCTGCTCCCACGCCGACCCCAGGTCCTGGAGGTCCGCCCATCTCTGAAGATATATATACAAATATTAGCCAGGAGAAGAATAATATTCCCACTTTTACATTACCTCCTTGCACTGGCAGTCGATTCCTGTTCTTGAAGCGGATGCACCGCTGCCTCTTGAACTGTATGGGCGGCGGACTAATGTCATCCACGGATGGCGCCGAGCCCGGGCTCTGGACCAACGAGCTCTGCGAGTGATTGATGCTCGTGTAGCCCTGCGAGCTGGTGTGCATCTGCTGGCTGGAGGAGCTCGAGTAGCGCGGCGTCTGGGTCTTGAGCCGCGGCGATGGCGGTGTCGGGGTATAGTCATCCTGAAAAGCTTCCGGCACCTCCGGCGTGGGCGTAAAGTTGAGCAAGTAGTCGGAGCCCATACCACCGCCCGTATCCTGCTTGCAGCGGCAGTCCAGGCACTCCGTGTTCCGTCCACTCAGGCCAGAGTAGTCCCCAGCCGGGGTGACATATCCACAGTAAGAGTTGGCGCTGTGCTGCGTGGAGGAGCCGCTGTCCCGTCGAGTGGCCGCCACCAGTGTGCAGCAGTTCTTGATTGTTCCGCTCGTTGCAGCACCGCCGCTGCCTGGCACATCCCGCTGCCGCTCCCGCTTGTAGCAGGGTTCGCTCCGGTGCGTGTAGTGCCCGGAGCTGCCTCCAGAGTCCCTGTTGATCGAGGACTCGCCAGCAGACTTGATCGATCGATTGCCACGGCTGCAGCAGCTCAGGATCTCACTGTGCGGCGAATGGCGGCTGATCTGGGTGTGCAGATCCGGCAGCGACTTGTGGCTATTGATATTGAAGTCGCCGGCGGGATAGGGAGCCCGCTCCTCCCCAGAATTGGCCACCTCGTGAGAGTGTGAGTACGATCGCTGGTAGTTGTACCTAATTAGAAAATATTTAAATATGAAAAATAGGAATATCTCCTAGCTCCTCTTTACACACCTGTAGCGATCGTTGTGCGCCTGTCCCGACTTGGCGGCGTATTCCGCGGGCGGGCTGATTGGTCGATAGTTCTCGGTGAGGACCAGTGGCTCCTCTCCCTCCCGCCCGAATCCGTGGGCTGGGAGGTAAAGCGGCGGTGGTATCCTTAGGGCACCCGCCTGTCCGGACTCTTCCTCGCCGTAATCCGTGGGCAGTAGCTCGGCACTGCCGTCGCTCAGTTCGTGGCGTCGCAAGGTTCCGCCGCCAGGTGTCCGCTCCTTGCCAGCCTCCGAGCCAAGCAGCATGCGCAGCTTGTGCTGCAGGAGATTGTTATTAACGGCTGCTCCTCCGGCAACACCCGAAGTTCGTCCTTGACCCTGGCCTTGGCCTTGGCCCTGGCTGTGACGGTGCGGATGGTGCTGGTGCTGGTGGGGATGGGGGTGGTGGTTGTGCAGGTACTGCTGCTGCTGTTGCTGCTGCTGCTGCGCCTGCTGCACAACTTGCTGCTGCTGGTGCTGCTGCCGGCTGAGATTGAGGCTCATGTAACGTCTATCCTCCAGATCGTCGTACGGCTGCACACCATAGTGGTGGCCATGGGACTCATCTGGTCGGCGGCCTCTCTTGCCGGTGGCTCCATTGTTGCCTGGGGAGGGATTTTTTTAATAAGTTAATTATTAAATTTATACTATAAAAATGTAAGCTCTTAAGAGACAAACAGAGCTCTATAATTTTTAATTTTAAAATTGAATCCCACAATTAAACACTTTTAATAAATAGAAAAATGGGTTTAAAATGATAAAATAATATTTTTAAAATTGATTAAACAATTAACACAATTGTAACTCCTCTTACCTGACCCATTCCTGTAGCTGGCCTGCTGCAGCCTCTCAAAAACCGCCTCGGACTTGATATAAAATGGCTTGGACTCGGCCAGCAGTTCCACGGCGGACTTGCGTTTGCTGTAGTGCCTGCTGCCCGTGTGATAGAAGGCGTTGTGGTGACCCCAGTAGTTCCTGCTCCCAGACTCGGGCAAGGCAGAGGCAGAGAGCGGCCGCTGGCCCGTAGAGGACATGTAACCATAGCCCGCATCTGCTAGGCCACTGCCACCACCGCCAAAGATCTGCTGGCTGGTGGCGTACAGCGTCTGGCTGGAAGTACGCGAGTACTTGGGCATCGTGGGGTAGGCGGAGGAGGGCGTGGACCCATGGTGGCCACCCGGAGAGCTGCTACCATTGCAGGAGCGCTGTCGCGGACTGCTGCAGCCATGGACCACGGCCGCCATGGTGTCACCTAGAAGCTGCTCTCTCCTGGTTGTGTCTGCTTCTGGAAGGTGTCTTGGCTGCTGCAGGTGTCACCTGCTGTTGCTGTTGCTGCTCCTCCTTTTTTTTTTCTCCTTTTTATTTCTCCCCTAACCTCGATTGGGAGGGAGGTGCGAGTGGCGGAGCGAGACTGGGCTTCTTGGGGACATGCGCAGTGGCGGGCGTGCTGCGTATACTGAAATTACAATACAATAATTTTCAGCTAGCCAAGGCTTGCATGCGCCTTCTTCTTCCTTCTCCTACGGCTCCTACAGCTCCTCCAGCACCTCCTGCTCCGACGTGGAGAAAACCAGAACTAGACCAGACCAAGGCAAGGCGAAATGAGGACCCGACATGCACTTGGAGCCAACTGTCGTGACTTGGTCTAGTTACCTCTCTCAGGTGTATTTATAGATTCCAGCACACTTTCAGTCCAATGGCCATGTACATATTTTAGGTATTTTCTTTGGGTTTTTTTATGGTTCTTCCGATTTTTCAGACTTTTAGGCATGTTTGTAGGCTGGAGAGCTCTCAAAGAGTCTTCTTTTGAACATTATAAACTCGTTGCGAGCCAGAACACGGACACATTCCACGGTTGGCAACACTCACCAGGCTCTACGAAAAATTCCTTTAGTTCAGTTCACTTTCGGTTCGGTTCGATTCCATTCCCATTGCCTGGCTGCGACGGTGGCAAGGTCTGCTACATTGTGCCTCTTTGAATAACAGATGTTGTGCCACTTCCAGAGCGTTCCCATTCGTGCCCCCAGAAAGCTCCGCGCATGCTCGGAAAAGGATGTAGCCCCAGGCGAAGCTTTTACAGCCGATACAGGTAGTATTGCTGAATGAAATTCTACCTTAAAATATATAGTATAGAAAACTAGAGAATTAAATTAAATTAAATACTTGATTATACTTGAAATACTTGAATACAAGATTCTGTTAAGAAAGATTTATCACTAAGGGGTGCCACCACAACTTTAAAATGACTCAGAAAACTAGTTACTTATTATAAATAGGTATAAGTCGTAAAATGTTTATATTTTTTCATATAAAGTAAAAATTTCATAGCTTTATTTCTACGTCTTACTGGCCATAGAACCACCGAGAAAGATATTTTGCCTTTATCAGGTTCTATCGCCTGTAAAAAACCTTATCAAGAACATCCGGAAGGGGAATAATTGCTAGATTACCAAATTAGTCAATTTATTACCCTTTCTCCGGTGCTCAGCTCGCTTTATTACTTCCTTTTTAATCAAAAAATGTTGTATAAAAGCCTCTGGCGAACCAAGATTCCGTACAGTCTTTGCCACAATGTTCACTCAGCGCCTTGGAGTTTACATTTTCTTGGGATTTCTTACCCTATCGGTGGCCTACAAAATATCACCCATAATAGTACAAGATGGTAAGGTTCGCATATCATTCATTATTCCTAATAAAAACCCTTTTCCTCTCCCTGCCAGGCATTCCCGATTTCTTAAATGTAACCACAGACCCCTTTGTGAAGATAGGTAATGGCTATTACTTTATCCAAATAAATTCCACCAAGAACTGGCATGCTGCCTACGAATCCTGCAGGAAAATGAATGCAAGCCTAGTAAATTTCGAGAGCATCGAGGAGTGGAACCTGATCAATAACTATCTCAATGATACTGGTATCCATACTAAATACTGGACCTCGGGAACGGTTTTGGCGGATACAGTGGAAAGGAATCATGTTTGGTTCTCTACTGGACAGGCCATGTCCCTGGATATTTGGTATCCGGGAGAACCGAACAATCTGGGAGGCTCTGAGTACTGCGATGAAATGGGAAGATATGATGTTCCAGTCCTATTTTGGGGATTAAATGACAGGAATTGCAATACCATTCTTCCCTATATTTGCAAGGCCCAACAGCCTGCAACAGTATCGTTTTTGGTGTGGTAAAATAAATCTGAAGTACTTGAATAAATCTGAAGTGTAATAATAATTTTGAAAAATTCAAAAAACCGTTGAAAACTTTTTTCTTGCTTAGCTTAGCTTATCTTATCTTCCCGCCAATATTCTTGGGGCTTTTGCAAGTTCTTCGAGCTTTTTTCATAGCTTTGATGGGGGAGAGCAGCTCTACGGCTGGGAGATCTCACTCAGTCAACTGTAAACCCCCGAGCCGTGAATATGTCCGCCAGCAAAGTTCCCTACGTAAAGCACAATAATGGCACCCAGATCCAGACCATCGGACTGGGCACTTACACGGTGAGTGGATTGAAGTGGAGGCAACGTTCCGGAGATCACGTCTCTGATATCGATCGGTGCAGTAATATTAATTGCTCTTATCAGTACACTACAAAGAATTTCCCACAATAAAGTGACTTTCGGCTTTGCCCTTTTATAGTCTCTGGGCGGTGATTGCGAGCGGGCCACGCTTCATGCAATTGATGTGGGATATAGACATATAGACACCGCCTACTTCTACGAGAACGAGAACGAGGTGGGCGCGGCGGTGCAAAAGAAGATTGCCGAGGGCGTCATCAAGCGGGAGGATATCCACATCACCACCAAGGTAAGGTTTTCCAAGGGATTTGATTCCTCTTAGTTTTTATTTATTGGTTTATTTCTTGCAGCTCTGGTGCCACTTCCATGAGCCAGAGCGAGTGGAGTATGCCTGCCGCAAGACCCTGGCTAACTTTGGCCTGGACTATGTAGATCTCTACCTGATGCACTGGCCCTACTCTTATGTCTATCGCGGGGACAATGAAATGATGCCCACCGATGCCAAGGGAGAGGTGGAACTTAAGTGAGTTGGGGGGTAATATTATAAAATTATATTTTAATACATTAAATTTATTCTTTTACAGCGACATTGATTACCTGGACACCTGGCGCGCCATGGAGAAGCTGGTAGAGCTGGGCCTCACCAAAAGCATTGGCGTTTCCAATTTCAACTCGGAGCAGTTGACGCGCCTGCTGGCCAACTGCAAGATCAAGCCGATCCACAATCAGGTGCATTTACTGCGGTTTTGTCTAGGGTTTCATATAACCCATAATATTTTCTATATCCCATATTCCCTTAGATCGAATGTCATCCCGCTTTGAACCAGAAAAAGCTAATTGCTTTGTGCAAAAAGAATGACATTGTGGTGACCGCTTACTGTCCCCTGGGTAGACCCAATCCGGCTGAGAAGACACCCAACTACATCTACGATGCCAAGGTTCAGGCCATTGGAGACAAGTACAAGAAGTCCACCGCCCAAGTGGTGCTCCGTTACCTGGTAGGGATTGGGATTTTTCTTAAGAAGACTCCTTAATCTTCAAGTTATTTGATTTACAGATTGAGATTGGAACTATTCCACTGCCCAAGTCTTCCAACCCGAAGAGAATCGAGGAGAACTTCAAGATCTTTGATTTCAAGTTGGATGCCGAGGATCATGCTGTCTTGGATTCGTACCACACCGGCGAGCGTCTGATTCCCATGACCCATGCCATCAAGAGCAAGAACTATCCCTTCAGCATTGAGTATTGATCTGGAGAAGAGGGTTGGGAAAGTTATTTTTGATATTTCAGTGCCTTCAATTTATATTTTCAACCAATAGATATTTTTAAAAAATACATAAAATGTAAAAAAAAAATCTTCTTAATTTCTTCTTTAACTTTTGGGATATATAAAATAATTTTGATTGATTTTTAACTTACTTTCGCATACTTTTTATATGTGTATACATATGCTATTTTAGTCTTATCAATTTAAGTAGTTCTAATCATCTTTCTAGACGAGGTAAATTTCTTATACTTCTTTAATGGAATTCCTAATGTACCTTCAAGCTTTAAAATTTTAGAAAAACCCCTAAATTTTATTCTTATTATAAAATTTGATTCAAAACAAAAACATCAAATATTAATTTAATTAAATTTAGCATTATCTACACCTTTGCTGATCTTATTAGTTGTTTGGCAAGAGATTAAGACAAGAGAGAGCTTTTTGCTCCAACTAGTTTTTTTAGAACCGAAATTTCGCATGGAAAATTCCATCTAATCAAAGGCACCTACATATACACATGCAACACCGCCCAGATGTTTAAATTCAATTACTAAAATAGGAAAACCGGCAGACATGCAATGTACAATAATAAATGCAAATTATCAGGCCCGCACACATACTCAAAAAAATTATAAAAAATAAAAATAAGTTAAACAAGCTTATAGCGGGCTATGAGTAATCGAACAATCGAACAATCGAATAATGAATAAATCAGCAGTGTTGCCCCATTATTTGAATTTAACGGTAAGTTTGAAAACTAAAAAAAATAAAGAAAATTGATTGTTCTTAATACTTTTTATAATTTTAAAATTGTATTTTTAAATTCTAAAGTAATAATGGAACTATATATTAAATAATTAGACTTTTAATATTTAAAAAATGTAGCTGCCTTTTCCAGCCAAGTTGGTATTTTTCATCGACCCCTAGTCGGTCTTACTAACTACATTACAAATTGTATACTAATTATCCTCGCCGGGATTTCACAACAAATTTCCGGGGGAGTAAACAAAATGCAAACAGTACGTGGCCTTTGCTGCAGCGAAGAAGATTACGTGGAGCAGGAACAGCAGCAAGTGAAATAAGGAATCACACCGAGCCCCCAAAGGAACACTCCGTCCAAGAAGTGTGGAAGTCACCTGTGAAAGTAGAGCAACCTACCAGAAATCGATGTACCACTGTCACATCATGGTATATATGCGAATTGTGCTCACTACTTTGGTGACGATTACGTGTCTGCTGGGCGACAATTTCGTGGAGCTCACCCAGCACCCGCTGTTGAAGGCACTGGCGGACAATGCGACACATGCGGCAATTGGTGCCCTCACCGGCATTGCCTTTGCCATGCAATTTTACGAGCGCACCTCGCAGTTGTTCGGCTGGATATTGATTTTCACCTGCTTTGTTGTGTCATCGTTCATTGACTTGGACCACTTTGTGGAGGCGCGTTCCTTATACTTGGAGGTAAGCCGGAAGAACTAAGAAATAAATAAAATAAGTAAGATCAACGTAAAGGTATTAATTACCCCATGAACCTCAAGGAACCCCCTTGTAATACCCTCTTTTCTTGCTCTTCCCAGGATGCCACCAACCTATCGAAGCGACCCTTCCTCCACTGCTCCAGCATCATTGTGATAATGCTGCTCTTCTATGTGTGCACTGCCTGTTTAAACTACTTCCGCACCAGCCTGATGCTGGGAGCTCTACTTTGTGCCTTCATCACACACCACACCCGCGATGCCGTTCGCAGAGGCTACTGGATCTGTCCCCTGGGCCACACGGACCGTGTGCCCCAGCTGGGCTACATCCTCACCACAATACTCACACCATATGTATTGGGTTACCTGCACAACCTATGTCGAAGTGCCATAGTCTTAAATTTCCTGGGGCAATATATAAAGCTAAGCGAGGGCAACTACCGGAGTGGCTCCAGTTCCACTGCCAACTATCGCTACATGCAGGTCTAGGAGATTAGAACATTTTGTGATAAAGCTGCAAGACAAAACCAAAAAATGCTTCTCAAGCTTCAAGTGCTTTAATATTAGATCAGCTAGAAACCAAAAGTACTTCCACACCACATACAGGACACAATTTTACACGGATCTACTAATCGCGAGTACCTTAGTTATTTGGGGAACTATGCTTCCCCCGTCCAACTCTGTTTATTTATTCTGTTAATTAGTAGCGTAGGTTTTTACTAGCATCTAAAAAAATTACAGATAATATCCGAATTTGTGATATGTAGTCGATAGTGAAACTAGAAGTAACGAGCATAGCGCACAACGATAAATCGAACTTTAACTTCCAAACTCTGACTCTCTAACTAATGTAATTTGTAGGCGAAACGAATTTTAAGCTAATCGAACAATAAAACTCAATGTAATTGCCTTAAATCCCAGGAAAGTGCTGCATCATCGGCACCTTGTAATCACGGTCTCTCGGGTCTGGGTCTGGGTTAATCCAATTGTTATTTAGCTTTGTGGTGTGGCCCACCCTAAAATGTTTTCCTGTTTATTTGCGGGCCAAATTAGTTGCCATTTCCAAATTGGCCCTAATGGATAGCAGCATCGTCGTCGTCGCTCCCAAGGAATCCCGTCATAAATTGACTCTGGCAAGTATTTCAAACGAACCGCGAACGTGTTTGCTATTTTTAACCAAATTTAATTTTAAATGTACGCCATTATAAATAAATCACAATTCGATTGAACAAGTTCGTGGGGTAAATATATCTAAAAAGAGAAGCATACATTTTTCCTACGCTTTTCACCGGAAAATTGCCATGTTTTTGCGGGTCAATAATTGGGTGATTAAACTTCCACGTGCGATTATACAAAAAAAGGAAAATACTTTTTATAGGGTATTGTCGATCCCAGAATTTCCCACGCATGCCCCTTAACAGCGCCACTAACAACAATAACAGCGCTTGGCTGGGATCTGTTTGGTGAGAACACCCACCCACAACACGAATTCGGTTGACATACACTGGAAAATAAGGCTAAGAATTTGGTGTTTATTGAATTAAATTAAAGCGGTTTTGGAAAATATATTTTAATCGTAATTTTAATATAGTTAACAGACTTTGTAAGACGATTTATTATTCTAATAAATTGTGTACAAATTTTATAGAGTTTTTTTTACAAATTTTATAAATGTTATACTATATTTTATAGCTCAAAAGTTGGATAGCTTATTATGATAAAGTATCATATCGATTTCATTTATAAAGCAGCTTCTATTGGTTTAATTCCATACATTATTTGTTATAAAAATACCCCAAAAACCTCTAAATTTCTCCCTGTGTATATGTACAAATGATGATCGTTTTGGGGCTGGGTCGCCGCGTCTTGTTAGTGGACACATTTATTTATGTGAGTGATCACAGCCGCAGAGGCGCAGTACAAAAAGTGTCGGCGGCCAAGAGAGACTAAAGCTCGCGTGTCCTGTATCCTTTCTGCGGTTGTCAGTGTGTGTGGTTGTGTGTGCTTGTTTGTGTTTGTGCGTGTTGGCCAAGATTGCGAACCAAGAGGAAGTCAGTGACAATCCGCTCGCTGTAAGTGCGATATGCCCCCTTGGAATTTGGCTAACTGCCTGGCTTCCGTAGCACTGCATTTACATAGTTAGAGTTCAATTTTCGATTGGCTTTCGACCTTGGTGCCTTTCACGCTTCGTTTGGCAGCCCCCCGTGTATATTTACTTATCGATGATATCACAGCGCACTGTGTCATTAAGCCCCCAAAGTGCGACATTTCTGTTTGCCGACAACGACGATAACTAACTAAAGTCGCTAAACGCCGTTCCCAGAGTCATTAACACCCCGTTAAAATCCAGCGTAAATCACGGGTACGGGTTCCGTTCTGGCGCAGTTTCATAATATTTATCTAGCACGATCATAACAGGCATATTATATGTATATGGTTTATAAATAAACATTGTAAATATTTACATTGGAAATCTATAAAAGAGCAAGAAGAGCGCCGGATCTCTTCACATAATTCTCTCGCTCAGCGTTCACTCTTTTGGCACACATTATTATTATTATTATTTTTTGTTGAACCATTTTTAATAAATAATTAACTCATAAAAGTCGGGCTGACGCTTCATTTATGAGCTGATAATGAGCTCGTAAATAGTCTAATTCCGGTTTCCGCTGCCTAAAAGCCATTTAAACTGATCTGTTCTTGATTATTGGGATGATCTTGCAGCATGGAGAGTTCGTTTTATATTGGATTCTAGGGTAAAAGTCATTATTCTTTGACTGATAATGCCAACGATCGATAACGAGTTCAGAGACAGCTCTCAGGCAGTTGTGCAAATAATAAAAATACATCAAGCGGGGGAGAAAAGTGAATATACAGTACAAGTTCCTTAAGAAAGAATTTTATTATTATTTTTTTATGATTAACTAAGCTTGGCTGTTGTTAAACTTAATGATTAATGTTATTTCGAGGCTAGCTGTTTAGAGTGCAAAAGTAGACAAGTGAAGCTTGTACTTCCAACGACCCCATGGCGTATGAGCAATATGATGTGTCATTTCTGCTCGCCTTACCTGAACAACGAGTGAATGGACCACGACAGCTGCCTAATTAAAATTACCAAAGATTCCAATGCTCTGTCGCCGCCTGCCAACTTCTGTGTCTCTTTTCTTTCCCTTTTTTTTTTTGTTATAAATCTTTATAAATAGCTCATACGCAGTGTTGGCACACGAACGCACTTGCAATTGCAGAGGCACTTCGGTGCTGTCATTTCATGTGCAGCCGGGTTGAATGACTCTGCCTAAATATAAAACACTTTCAGCTTGCCCAGTTTATGTAATATACTTATGAAAGGTTCTGGCAAGACTTTATATATTTAAATTATATTTTTATATAAATTAAATATCATATATATATAATATATAAATCATGTATCAATTATTTGGCTGTCTTTTATAAATACACCCAGTCTTGTCAGCTATAATACGGATTATAATGTGGCATGTTTTTGGCTCTAGACTTTGAGATCTCAGCGCCAAATGCTGATCAATGCGACGGCGACGCATTGATAAACAAATATGGGAAACGTGTTTCGGGCCAAGTGTTATGCTCTTTGCAAAGATCTTTCTTTAGATTTGCATATGTACATATATATATTTATACTTTCGAAATTCGCCTCGTCACAAGAGCTAAATTTTATGCCGGCTGTTGCCTGTTGACAAAGAGAGAACAAGCAGCCAAATCGTTGAAAATAAATCACCAAAATTAAAATTAACAAAATGGCAAACGTGGAACGGAGGCGAAATTTCAAAATATTCAAAGAGAAAGAGAATGCTGTTCTCTCCAATTCTCTCCCTCTCTCTCCCTCAGACAACATGTTAAATGTGTTTTTTTTTTTCGGCAGCTTTTCGAGCGCGTTGGAGCTCTGTGAAATGCTCAATATTGTTTGGGATTCCGTGGCGAGACGATCGTCGAAATATAGTCGCGCGCGCATTCAAATAATAAAATCAAGAAATACACAAAGAAATATAGCGACAAAAAAGTAAAAATACAAATAAAAGCAAGCAATTAATAATCATAAAGTTAATACACACAGCATTTTGGCACAAGGCATTCAAATATTTAAGCAAAGCAAATAAAGTTAAATCATTTGTACAGTGAAACAGGTGCTAACACAATCAAAATACATTCAAGTGCTAGAAAATATAAACGTTAAAACAATAAAAAAGAGAAGTCAGCTAAGAAACTAGGCCAACCGAGGCACAAAGTTGAGCTATATAAATATTGCTCATACGCCACCGGCACCGTCACCTCTCATTCATTCCCCTCCCAATTATCAGTTTTGAATGAGCCCAATGAGTGGACTACGTCAACAGCTGAAGGTGAGTATTTCCAAAGGACCAAAGTCGCATAAGGGTGCAAAAAGACAATAATCCCTGATCAGTCGATCAGTCTAGTCGCGCCGCGTCTCGAATCGCCTAAACCTGCTCGCATTTGTATAAATATTTACTTAATTGCCTTTCAATGGTGGCAACAACTTTCGTTCTCCGTCTGGCAGGTACTAAAGCTGCCTCCCCGATGTATACACAATTTGTTTTTATTTCTTTTATGATGAGCCAATATTAAATCCCTCTTTCTCTCTCTGTCGGTGGACCGGCTATAAATAATTTTAATAACAATATTGCAGCTACATGGTGGCAATTCGATTGTCAGGGTCGCCGTATGATATATGAAAATTTGATGATCGTTTTCGGTAATTGTGAAATCAATCGTCAAATATTTAGAGTACCCAAACAACGTCATTACAGTTTATTTTTGGGGCAAGCAAACAAATTAAACACATTTTATGGCTTTAATGGGAAAAGTTAAAAAAAGGCTACAAGGAAATGGATAAAAATAAGCTGGCTTCTCATTGCCATATTAATTAGAGTTTATTTTTTAAATTACAACATACAATATACAATGTAATTTAAAATTAAATACTATAAACTTTGCAGCCATTAATCTTTTAGAAAGAGTTTAGTAAAATGTTAATAATATATTTTAATTGCTAAGCATTTTGCTTCCTAGCTTTTTCCTTACTATAAGTTTTAAGAAATTCTACAAACTTGCACAAATTGGATGGAACCAGACGCTCTCGTCTGTAGACAAAAATAAAAATATAAATGTGAATATCGAGACTCTCATAAAGTTGTTCGTCATCCCAGCAACCCATATGCCGTGGCAGGTCATAAAATGCGTCTGTGTCGCAGTTCATATTCATAACATTGTAGCCAAAACACATCATTAAAGTGTATATAGGAGCATCCATAAAAGGCATATTTGTAGATATATGTACGCGCCACACGGGGGATAGGGAATCATAATGGTTTCTTAATGTGCCGGGCCAAGATTTTTTTTGGCATACAAAATGCGCTTCAGTGCTTTCGAAGGCATTAAAAAGTCGATTGTTTATCGTATATCTATATATACTTGGCCAATATAAACATTAGCGATTATTAACTTTTTCCCTACCTTTTTCAATTATGTATATTTCTAAAATATTTGTAGGCAGACATAGTTAATCTACGAAATTTTATTTGAGGTCCAAAGTTTTGAATGTGTTTATCAAAATTTTCAACCCATTGACGACACACAATAATATTTTGTTGGGTTTTTCACAAACAAGCCTCAGATTTATGATTTTTGGCAAAGACTACATGCCACATAAAAAGCGATTATAGTATTCAGATCATAAAAACGAATTCGAGCAGGTGATTTTTCGGAGGGGGAAAATAGAGTGTCACCGAAAAATGCCATTAAACGAGCATTAAAACGCCGTTCTCAACGAATTTATTAATTTGTTTACATTTTATGCGTCTTGGCACGTGAGCAATGCCACCAGCATCTGCATTTATTGCCACGAATAAGCCAATAAACCAACTGTTGGCTAAGGTAACTAACCTGGGCCAAGGCTTTACACGGTTGCCGTTCCTAGCCATGTGAACATCTGCGGCACATAATAATTACCCATTTCTGTGGGCATTCTCCATATTAAGTTGGATTACAAGATAATAAACAAGATGTAATATTTTACCTTCAACATTAAATTTGTGAATGATGAATAATTTTTAATTAAATAGGAAGGTAACTAACAATTATAAATGTAATTTAAGTAAAACCTTTGAAAGAAATTCATTGTAATTTGCACACAAGTAATATTCAATTTGCCAAGTTAATAAATTACATAAAATACAACCAAAGTTTAATTTAAAAATACATTTTCTAAGAAAAGAACCAGATTTTCATCAACAAAAACCAAATTGAAAAACTAAAAGGTCACACGAGGTAAACAAACAAACAGCACATGATTTAATTTAAACGTTAATCAGCGATTTTTATTTTGCCTTCGCCACACAATTTAAATGCATTTAAAATATGCATTGTTGGGCAAAATTGGAAAATTGGAAACTGCACCCACACTTTAAGTACATAGATTGATATTTATAAATAAATACATTCAGCGTAATTAATCAAAAATTGCTCGAATACTTGCGCGGCTCTCTACGTAATTGAAATTGGGAAATAAATAAATTTAAGGCACGAAATGTTTTCCTAGCCCCCCGCCAGGCTTAATCGATTAATATTTGGCCTAATCGGGGGGTTTATGGTGTGGTCTTAGTACCTAAGACCCGTTAATTGCACTTGTCTGAATGCGATTTGCACATTTTTTGTTGGCTCACAAGAGATGTTCTTCGGAATTCCTCGAATTAAAATAGATCGGAAAAAGAGCCAAGGCGGACGGCAGCTAAAATAACAACGTAATAAACGGAATGTCAAAAATAAAAAGACTAATCGACGAAATGTAAAAATATATACCTCACTCTTTCGTCAGTTTCCTCACACACACCCACACCCAAGGAAAAATTAAGAACACCTTTAAGATTTTCTTTGCGCCGCTTGAGAGTATGCTACATTTTATTTTTAATTTTAACGTTTTGTTCTTTTCTATTTAGTTTATTAAATATTTTATTTGCTTTTAACATATGTCTATTTCACAGATGCTGGGAACAGCTTTGCTGGGCAAGCGGGCCACCAAGGTAAATATACAATTATTTCAGTTTATTCAGACTCGTTTTTATTTATTTGATTTTCACTTTCGTCTCATTTTTTCGGTCGGCAGTCTGTCAAGAAGAAACCATTCACAGAGGTGGAAATCAAAGGTAAGTAACGAAAATCAAACCGCAAATCAACCGGCAAATTGTTTATTTACTAAACAAACCGACTCGCAGAACAGTGACCTCTGATTTTCTTGGGAAAAACATTGAACAAAATATGGGTTAATGTTCGTAGACTCAAAGTACTGCTTGGTTATTCATAATTACAGACAAATTGATGTTTAAAGATAAACAGTAAACACAGCCATTTGCATTATTTTTATTTGTTTGCCATGAATATCCAAATTTATGATAGTTTTATAATATTTTTGTGAACCCATATTTTATTTATTTTGCTGGCCTCACTTGACTTGACCAACACTGCGTATACGTAATTGGTTTTAACACAATAATTAGGAAAGGTATTAGTCCTTGGGCACTTGGAGATATTAATTAAAGTTTGCATTGTAAATTAATTAAAAAAATAATTTTTATAGAAATAATAGATTAAAAGGGGAAAACTATAGAAAAACTAGTCAATGTTAAGTTGTTTAATTTCAGTTTACTTATCTTTTCTGTTACTTTTATAAAAGTTAAATATTCTTTATACTTTTATTTTATTTCCTCACCACTCTTGATGTTTCTTTTTAAAAGAATATATATTATTTTCGGTGTTTTGTTTAATTTTAGCCAGACAAAATTGCTGACCGCCTTTTGCATGTTGGCTAAAATTGAATGAATGTGTGTGCAGCAAACTAATTTTAGCCTTTCGGCAGGACAGGTGCACTGACACTTAAAGATGGATGGCGACTAGGGGAATTTCTGCCTCTGCCACACCCCTCTCTCCCTCTATCTCGGTATATGCACGTTTATGGCTATTTTTATTTTTTGAATTTTGTTCGGAAACACCGCCGAGGCTATAATCTAATCAAGATGGCCATAATCGAGTTGAAATTTAATTAACGCGCCTCCTTCTTTTACCGCCCGATAGGGGTAAAAAGAGGAAGCGAGACGGAGAGGGGACGGGATAGAGATAGCTGACACCCGCGCATCACGTGCCCAATTAGCGCGCGAATAAAGTTTCCAATAAGAGAAGCGAAGCTACAGAAAATAAACCTGCTCTACTATGGCTTTTATTCGCAATTTAATTTGGCAGTGGGGATTTGCCAGTGAGTGTTTACAATCGCCGGCTTTCAATTCTAAGATAAGATCCGAGAATGTGATCCCACGCTCATGTGACACATTTCCCCGGGCTGACAGGGCAAACAACAAGTATTTAAATCGGGCCACCAACCCAGTCAGGCACTTTCCCCCGTCAGTTGCCGCTGATCTTTGGCAAATATTTGGCCAAAACAGTGGAGAAAAACAATCATAAATGATATGACTCATTTATGAGCCAGGGAGGGACCCATTGTTTGCTTTATTATGGGGGAATCAAAGTCGTTAATGTTTATTAGTATCAGAAAGAGGTGAACCCGAAACATATAGATACAAATTATTTGAATATTTATATATACCCTCCAGAGAATATATAAAATAAACACTATAGAAAGTAATACTACTAGTATTACCCCACTCAGAGAGACATCATTTAGGCTAAGGCCCCACTCGACGACAACGACGACGACGAGGAGTGGTCGTGTCTGATTGTCTCACTCCGGTAATCAGACAACTGAAATCATGATAAGGCCACTCTGAGAAGAGCAATAATAATAATATAACGGGCTAGAGCAAATACCATTACGACATATAGACTAGCACTTAATGAAATCAGACGACCCGCTGGCCTGGCCAGGCCCATCCCAGATATAAAACACCCGCCCACCGAGCGAGTCTAGAATCCAGAACCACCTCCCATCATCAGCTGATAACTCGGTTAGTTATCTGCGGGGAGCGACGACGGTTGTGTTATCACCGAAATGAAATATAATACAATATACCACCGAGGGGAATGGCTACGGCTGGCTGGCAGTGGGAACTCTCCGAGGGCTCCGAGTTCTGGCTAGTTCGTTTCATTCGAGTCCCATTATCTTGGAGTTTTCGTAGATAAATCGCACGGTAAACGCTGGCATTCCTGCAGCATTATTATTATTTCGCGCTCAGCTTATGTGGCGGTCGGAAGTGCCCACGAGTGTCTCAGCTGTGGTTGTGTCGTGATTGATTGATTGATTGTTTCCTCGGGTTTATCTGATTGATCCCACGATTGAGGTAGTGCTACGATTCGGTTCTGCAGGAAATTTAAAGCCCAGCGATCGTTGAACGTTCGCCACAGAAATTAGCGTCTTTTCGATTCGGAAATATGAGCAAAGATGATAAGTGTGAGTATGAAAGTCAAGAAGAAATTATAACCCCCACCAAAAACCGAACTTTAGTCAATCGTTATCGTTATCGATACGATACGAGCGCGAAAGCAGGAAAGTCAAATATTGCTAATTTGCTGACAGCAATCAACTTGCGGGAGACACGGCCAATCTCCATTTGTCGCCACACTTGTAAAACTAATTAAACGATTGTCAGCAGCCACGTATTGGCAGTGCACAGAGAAAAATTTAGGGTGATACCTAGACTGAGAAGTATAAATTAGGCTTAGCTTAGAAAAAAGTGATTTTATAGCCAAGTTTTTTCTCCCTTATAGTTAGTATCTTTTAAATTTAATCAAAATGTTGATTTGCAGATAGAATTATAGGTTTTATAATGCATTTTCTTACAAAATATTTAGTAAACAAGTTTTCATATCTATTAATTTTCTCTGCCTTAGAAATGTCTAGTTTCTCATCTTACATTTTATTGAATATTTAAATTAAAATGTATTTAATATTTTTGTCTAGTGTAGCTTCCTGTCACTCTTCGTTATCACTCTGAAAATTATCTCAGTGCCTGTACATGCTGGTGTGTATTTGGCAAGTGGGCGTTTGGGCTGGCAGTTAATTTGTTGCCACTTTGCCACTGATGAAACCTGACAGTCAGTGGCAGCCATAATATTTTCTGCTCAGTTCTTTTTCCTTTTTTTTTTTACATTGCATCTTGATTTATGTTTACGCAACGTTGGCAGTTTTTTAGGCTTGTGCCACAGAAAAATTCTCGGCTTACTACTTGACTTGAGTTATGAATGGCAAGACAATTAGGCACAAAACCAAGTGAAAAATGTGAACGTTTGTTGACTGTACAAAATTTCAATTGTCCTCTGAATGTGATTTATTTGGCAAGCAAATGTTTAAAAATAATTTAAACGGGCTTTAATTTGTAAATGTTTCTTAAAAGCTAAATTATTGCCATTTGTTACCAAAATAACACTCATTAAACAATTGCATTTGTTGGGTAATCACAAGTCAAAGCCTGACTTTATATATTCATTTCACCATTGATTCCGGCATTTGAACCTCTCACCCATTTGCATTGTTTAACAATTTCCATATTGATGTACTGTAAAATGTGAAATGTGTGTTGAAAAGGAAGGGATTTGTACGCAGGCCAGGCGCTAATTCGGTCACGTAAATGGATTCAATAACAAAGCGAGATGAAAAATTGTTTTACGTAGTCAGTCGGCTGCTGCTGCTGCTGCTGCTGCCGCTGTGCGTGTCCTGAGTCCTTGACCCTAACACCCCGTACACACCCACTTTCAACCCACCCCTTTGGGGCTCGTTTAGCTGGCACGTTTTGCGTATGAAAGATTTTGACGATGGCAATGGCTGCCCTCGGATTGATTTTTGCATATTAATGCAGGACATTGAATCGGAATCCAGCAGCTGCACTCACATTCAGACTGTGCTGAATCTCAGCCATGCAGATGAGTGGCCTTGAGTGTTTTAAGGACCCATAAAAGGGAGAAAATGCAGATAAAAAGCTCTACGCTTTATATCATTGAATGAAAACGCATTGCTAATGGCAAACACCTCGTAAATTGGCAAATTTATTGTTCATTTCTGCAGAGATAAAAAGACAAAAGTCACTGTATATATTTAAAGATAGTTAAATAATGGATAGATAATAAAATGGATAAATTAAACTTATGTTTTCACATTAAATTCTTTAATTAACAAAACAGACTTAGTAAATCAAATATTATTTACCAGAAATTTCCCTCTAGTGCCGTAGACTCCTGTCACTCGTTTTGGGGGAATGTGATTAGGCATTAAAATCAGGCGCCTTTAACCAATGTCAGTCCGTTGTCCGTCGTGGGTGTCTGTCGCCCGCTGGCATCGGCACGTGACTTCGTTTGCGTTTGCCTTTAGAAAGGGAAACCCCCGCAAGGTTCGTGATGTTTTTGGACCCGCATAGTTAGCCACTTCGCCGCGCCTAATACAATTTACGCCTTTTGTGAAAGTTCTTTTGCGGCGTAATTTGTATTTTATATAGGCATCGAAGCGGTGACCCGAACACATCCAATCTAAAGGCCATCGTCCTTAAATAAAGCTGCACATATTGTGAATTCAATCCATCTAACCTAGAGCTTGCTACTGATGGCTGCTAGCTTGCATTTCACTTTCTGTTGGCTGGCCAAAGTTTTCGCAATTAATTTTCATTAAAAAGTTGTTTGCATTGCCTCGAGTTGAACGAACCAAGGACTTTGTGAGGAGGCAGAGTGGACAGGACTTTGTTAAAGGATTGCAGCTCATTTGTCGGAAGGGAAAACAGAAACCGAACATTTGTTTTAAAGTTCCTTCAACCCGCCCTTTGTTTTCCGGGCAAAAGGCAACCATCAGATACAACTGTTTAACTTTGTTTTGCTTTTAATTTAAAGGATTATTTTAAGGACGCTGCTGATAAAAAAGTCATTGAACTCGTCTTTGTTTTTTTTTTTAAAGAATGTGGGAGATATTAAATCTCAAAAACGGGATGTCACTGCAATCGTTACGGGTTCAAAATCTATTAAAAATGTTTCTGTCTTGAATAAAAAATATTTTATCTGAAATCTAGTATATGTCTTTTTCTAATTATTTTTATATAATTTAAAAGTCTAGACAAGCTCCATTAGAATTTCCATTCAACAGAACTTCCTTCTTCACATCTAGAAATCTATTATTATATGTAGATTATAATCACTTATTCAAATTCAAAGTTATTCT